CGCCCCGCCTCGCCTCCGGGACCGGGAACCCCCGGGCACCCCGAGCGGAGGATGGCCGGGGCCGCGGCACCCCGGGCAGCGGCTCTCGGCCCGACGCTGAGCTCTTTATTAATGCAGCGATGATATAAAAAGCCTGGTACTGTTGCATGACGTCACCCTCCCACACCTGCCTGCTCACACCTATACGCGCACGCAGGCACTTAAATAAATGCATCGAAATATTTCCGTAGAGAAGCACTGCTCACACGCCCCGGTCCGATGCACAGAATGCGGGAAGCCCCTAAGAGGTGACCACATTCTGCAGGCACCCAACCTCTGATTGCTGGCTAAAGGCGTCAAGCGCTGCTTAAAAAAAGACAAACACAACATATCGGAATATTTAGAAACGAACAGAAAACATGAGCAACGGGATTTAAAAATCCACACTCTAAAATACGAGACAAACGTCACTGTTATAGGGAAAATATGCCTGAAATTCAATCTATAAGACATTTGACCTACAGAGAGTATAAACTTTAAGGCTGTAAAAATATAAGCCCACTTTTGCTCTAAACAGCATATTTAAATCTCAAATGCACTGTCAGAGAACATTCTTGTGCAGTTAAAACCAAAACGCGGTGCTGCTTTGTGCAGGAACTGTGCAAAGTTTTGCAACAGCCTGGAGCAAGGCGGATAATGCCCTGGGCAAGGAACCGGCTCTTTGCCAGCAGATTTGGAAGGATGGATGGAAGCATGTGCTGGGCTGATTGAGGCAAGGGCAGAATCCGACATCAGTCCCGGCGGGGTGAGACTGCTGCCACTTGCTTGTCAAAGTGACACCGACTGTGCAGTGGACGTCAGGACACATGAGACTTCATTGAATAAACCCACGGGAGTCGTTCTCGCTTGGCCTCAGATGGGTGGCACAATGTTCGGGGTGGGCTGCAGATCCGAAACACTCGCCGAGTCACCAGCACAGGGCTGTGGGCTGTTTCCTCTTCACAGCTGGCTCCATGTGGTGGGTTTGGCTGACTGATGGCAGCTCCGGCACACATCCAGCTCATAGTCCCAGCTAAGCATGGGGTGAGGAGTGCTCCCCACTGCCGGCTGGTGCCTGGCTGGGGCCGGGGCCGTGGGAGTGGGAGGGGGCTGGCGGTGTGCGGTCTTGCTGCCCTGATGCTGCAAAGCTGCCACATGCTGCTGGTGGAGGCCCTGTCCTGCGGCAGGGTGCTGCATGGCCCTGTCTGCGGGGCTGGGCACCCAGGTCCCTGTGCACAGGGAAGGAATCGCAGTCACACCCCCACATCCAGCCATGCAGACATGCTTGCTGGCTTGGACTCAAGCCGCATCAGGATGGTGCTGTGCAGAGAACTGCTGCAGACACCAATGCTATGCAGAGCCATCCTGCGGCTGCCTCCTCCTCCTGCCTGCATGCGGCTCAGCTCTGCTTCGGTCCCAGAGGATAGCTGTTGCAGCGTGGTCAGCAGGAGAGAGGAGCCTGGCTGTGGTGCTGTGCCTGCAGCTTTCCCCTGCTGGGGTGAACCCCTGACGCTCACCACGTGCCATCCTTGGCAACTTGACATCCTTGCTCCCCCATCGTTGGCAGAATCTTCCCACGTAGACAAGCTGGGAGTGCTCCCCGCCCAGGAATTCAGCGCTTGGAGTTGCTCATTGTGGTGGGAAATGCCCTTGACCCTTGGTTGTTTCAGAGACAGAGACAAACCTGTTCCAGATCTGGGCCCACTGAAGCACCAGGTTGCAGCAGTAGTGGAATTAGCTCAGCCTCTGGAGTTTCAAAGTGCTTGGAAATCTCTGAGGTGGAGAATTGTCTCCCTTTCCAGCACAGTGAGGGTATCAATACATTCAATTGCTAGGGAGGGGTGTTTCTGTCCAACCTCGCACAGCATTAAGCTCCTTTCCTTCCTGGTAGGCACTTCACAAACACATTAGCCCCACAGCTCACCGGCGTGGGGCTCCAGATGGGTTTCTGTGTCAGAATAAGTGGGATGGAAGAAAAGCGGATTGTAAATAACAAGGAATAACTGAACTGCAGGCAGGAGCCTTTGTGCGAAGCCTGATGGTCTCAGATAGTCTGGGATTGATCTCTCAGGTAGTTGCTCCTGGGGTAAGATCCAGAAGTGAATAAAGAGTACAAGAGAGACTTTAGCTGCTTGGGCTGGATGCTCAGGCTCTCCTTACAGCTCTGGCATGTGGGAACAGGAACGTCCTGATTCAGCCCCTGGGCACAGGTCTGACCCCCACGGCTGCCAGTGCTTCCCCAGGGCCAAGTCACCGCTCTGTGCGGGAACCATCACGTTTCTGCACGGAGAGCACTGGTTTGGTAACCTTCCTGGGAAGCAAATGGTGACATGGTTACTGGGCCACTATTTCCTCAAAATCAGAGAGCTGCCGCATCTGCTCCGCTTGCATGGAGTGCCTCCGGAGAAGCTTCCTTTTGGCTCTCAAGTCGCCCCGTCTGGGTGAGCTGGGAGCGATGGGTACCAGGGACTTAAAGCAGGCAGCAAGCGGAGAGGAGGCTTTGCTGTTGGAGCCGATGTCGGGGATCGGGGGGTTGGGGTTCACATTCAGGGGGGGCAGATATCCCGGCCTCGTGTGGGAGATGTGGTCCAGCAGCAGGGTCCCGGACCCTCGCCTCTCCAGCAAGCCGGGCGGTCGGTGCCGGATGGTCGCAGGCGATGTGCCGGCCATGCTGTCCAGGGACTCCCGTGAGCCATCCAGCAAGGCCAGGTGGGAACCGCTGAGCTTCCTCCTCTCTGATGGCACCTTCCCCGCCTCGGTCAGGCCGGGGACACTGGAGACCTGGGGATCGCAGTCGTAGTGCTCGGCACTCAGCCTCCGCCAGTGCAGCGTGTCCATTGCCGTGGCCGAGCCGGCGACAGTGGAGCCAACACTCTCCGGCTCTTCGGGGACTGTGCCTCTTCGGGGCAGGCGCTGGTGGGCAGCCTGGCTCTTCTCGTAGGCTGCTTTCCTCGCCAGTGGCCCAGGGGCTGGTGGTGTCCTCAGAGCCTGCTCGTCTACCGGGGGGAAGAGAGAGGGGTCCTTGCTCTTGCTGCTGCCACTCCAGGCAAGAGGAGCCTTTTTGGAGAGCGAGAGGTCGCCGATGCCCATGATCACCTCGTCGTCTGCGCAGACCCGCGTGTCGTCACGGTGTGTGGAGGCCGCCAGCACTGAGGGTGCGACCAGACCCCATGGCTCTGACCGTAGCCGTTTCAGCTGGGGCAGATGGGCTCTCCTGGCTGTGCCGGCTCTCTGGCCCGGGGAGGGTGGCTCGTCGGCAGACCTGGCAGAGGGGCTGTCTCCAGGGTGCGATGGGTGTGGGCTGAAGATGCCGCTCTCCTTCTCAGCAGGGGAAGGTGCCGAGCCAGGAGTTTTCAAGTGGGTGCTGGAGGGTGCTGTGCATGCCTCAGGGGGGGCCTTCTCCTTGAACTCCAGTGAGGGGGGAACGTTCAGGTATTGCTTGGCAGTCTTGGTGCCAGAGGCCGACTTGTCCATAGTGATAATGATCACCTCCTTCCCTTTGGCTTTGCAGGCGTTCAGGAGGTGCTGCAGCACATCCTTGTCATCGGCATTGATGGCGTGGACCAGAGCTGATGCTCCTGAGTGGTCCTCCAGGCTGGGGTCTGCCCCATTCTCCAGCAGCAGGGACACCACATCCCCCCCGGCGCCACGGATGCAGGCATGCATGAGGGCTGTTTTCCCAGACTTGTCCTGGATGTTGGGGTCAGCTCTGTTGTCCAGCAGGTACTTCACCATCTTGGCCTTGTTAATGCTCTGCTGGTCGACATGCTTGGTGATGCAGGCCACCATCAGGGCGGTCTCCCCTTTCTCGTTGCTCTCATTGATGTAAGCCCCCCCTTCTAGCAGTAGCCGGGTCAGCCGCAGCCGGCCGAGCCACACTGCCTTTAGGAGGGAGTTCCCCCCCATCTCCAGCTCCGTCACCTCATCCATGGCACTGGCCGGTGCTCACTGATGGGCAAAGACAGTGACAGCCAGCAGCTGTGGAAGGAACCGTGAAGGAGAGGTGAGGCTTGCTCCTCAGCCCTGGCTCTTGCCTCTGCCCGGCCTTCCCGGGAGTGTCACGCTCTTGGCACTGCTCCGCATCCCACTACCTCTCTGACCACATCCACCCCACCCTGTGGCACTAGGACCCCCCCCAGATCCACCTCCCCTGCCCGTGTGCAGCCCCACAGTCCCCCTGCACACAGGGTCTCCTGCCCCGAGGGGTGCTTGGGGGGCAAGGCAGGTGAGCAGCAGCAGGAGGAAAGGCTTGCTCTCCTCAGGGATCTCCTGGGGAGCAAGAGCTGATCTTTGCCAGCTGGGAGATGCCTCAGCCCTGCCCTCTCACAGCCATACCATGCATTTACTTTATGGCATTGGCCCCCTCTCAGTCATCTCATCTTTAGGATATACTGTATTTTTCTCTTTCGGCCATGGAGCCTCTGGCCTTCCTCTGTTCTAGACATGCCAGCAGACTTGGCTGCCAGGGCCCTGGGTGCATCAGCTGCCCCTAATTGTTCTGACCAGGCTCACCTGAGACACCCCCGTCCCCCGCCTCCACCCCTGGGCTGGGGGCTCTATTTAAATGCAGGCCCAGAACCCCAGTCCTGGTTTGAGCTATGAAGGTGCTAGAGACTTCATTTACCCCTGTCAGACTAGACTTGTTCATTGCACTTCCCTTGCTGACCTGGAACCTGACTTGCTGCCTTGCCTTGGCCTGATGATCACTGCTGATGGGACCTGTCACTGACTTGTCCCTGCCCTGCCGATGAGGGCTTGTTCCCTGACTGTGTGGTGGCCACCCTTGGCTTGTGGCTCATCTGCCGCTGTGGAGGAGCTCTGGTCTTGCTGCTCCCTGGCAGTATGTCTCAGTTCATCTTGCCTTGCTCTTTTCCAGCTCTGCTTCCCCCATAGCTGTACTGACATTTGCCTGGATGCAGCTGATTTCCCCAAGCGCCAGAGAAATCAGAATGGTCCTGATGCTGAGATGGTTTCCACCACGACTTCTAGGTCTCTCAGGCTGTAACGCAGAGCCCACTGGAGACAGTGTGAGTATTTCCCATGGCTTCTTGGGCCGGAGCCATGATCTTTGCTTCCTCACTGCCGAAGGAAACGTGAAGCAGCTGTGGTCATGCTGTCTGTAACCCCATGCTGCTTAATGGTGGTGTGAGCTACTTGTGCAGGGGAGTGCTGTAAGAGCAGCTTCCACTCACAGCACTCTCTGCAGCAGGACTGCCTCAGGAGGATCAACAGGCATAGTCTCTGCTGGCAAGTGCTTCCCTGCCATTGCCTGGCATGGGCTGGCCACAGGAAATTCAGCCAGGTAAGTCTCACGTGCATTGCTCCACAGCCATGATACTCAACCTGAGTGCCTCATAGCCCTACTGCCTGTGTCCTTGAGGAACAACACCTGTTCCCTGCAGCTCTGAGACCTGGTGGGCTCCACGCACAAGGCAGAGGTAGCAGCTGAGGGAGCAGCAGATGCCCAGCACCATGGAAACATTACAGAGGCACGGAACCAGACCTTCAGCCAGCCTGTCCAGGGTCCCTGCCACCTGCTTGCCCCATGCTCTCATTGCGCTTTGCTGCCCGTCCAGCTGTGAGCAGCAGTGGCCACTCTTCAGGCCGTGCCCAGCCCTTCCCCGGAGCATCCCCACCTGCCAGGGGCCCGTCAGAGCCTGCCCGCTTCGCTCCGGAGCTCTTGCCAGCCTGTGCTCAGCAGCTCTCTCCGAAAGCCTCCCCCGTGGTGCGTGCAAGCAGCTCTGCCCTTCCCCGCCAGCCCCTGCCCTTCCTGTCCCGGAGGCCGTGGGGATGGATCCTGCAGCCCTGGGACCTGCTGTAAGTGCTCGCACCGGGGGCGTCCCCCCCCCCTCCCCCCCGGCCCCCTCAGAGGCGCAAGCGGTGTCACTCCCCCCTCCCCGGAGCCGTGTCGGTGAGCCGCCCACGGCCCCGTCCCCTCGGGGAGCCGGCAGGCTCCTTTGAGCTGCTTCCCTGAGCCCTCTCACCTCCCTCTCCTCGCCGGTCGCGTTCCCCGGTCCGCGGTGCCGCCGGAGGGTCCTAGCCCGGGCGCAGCCTCGTCCCTTCCCGCTCCCCGCCGGGGGTCCGCGGCCTCCGCCGCCCGAGCACGCTCGCCCGCGGGGCTGCAGAGACACCGGGGGGAGAACGGGGACCCCCGGGGCAGGCGCCCCCCGCTTCCCCCCCCGCCCCGGGGGCGGCCCGCTCCCG